CATCCACTGCAGACCCTGTGCAGCCTACTATGTGCTGGATGCTCCATGCTGTCCTCCCTCCCTGCCTGTCACACAGTTACCACTCAGAGTACTCACCCCTTCCCCTCTCCTTCCCACCCCCACAGTGACCGCTGCTGTGGAGAAGCTGGTTTTTGGAGTGGAGAAGAATTCAACCTTCCTCGAGTGCCTGGCACGGTCCCCACAGACGACTGTCCGGTGGCTGGTGCAGCACGGCGAGGAGACGGGCCTGAGCGAGGTATAGGGGACAGAACAGCAGGGACAAGGTGCAGGGGTGGCTCGGTCCCTGGGGACTGACCCACGGTGCTCCGCCTTTGCCCCAGGTCAGGAACAACGGTCACTTCTCGGTGCTGGAGCAAGGGCTGCTGATCCGCCAGCTGGCGAGGGAGGACATGGGCACCTACGAGTGCCAGGCGGTGGAGCGCTCCTTCTCCCGGCCCCTCACCCGATACAGCCTCCGTGTCATCAGGCATGAGGCCATGGAGGTGACACCATACAAGCGGAGCAAGGGGGCCGAGCTAGGAGGGACCCACCAGAGCCCCCGGCCCCGGATTGACCTACACCCTGGCTACAAGGGCTTCCCGCGGGCCCTGGGGGCACCAGGCACCAGCCTGGATATCTACTGCAACGCCCTGCGGCACCAGGAAAGGCAGCGGCAGAAAGCCTGGCACCAGAAGTGGCAGCACTCATCCCCAGACAGCAAGAACGGCCGGGTGCGGAGGCACCCCCAGCCCCTGTGAGGGGCAGAGGGAGCCAGGCCACCCCCAGCTCCCTTCTGGTCTCTCCAGGGCATCAACTTGCACGTGGGCATCAGCTCCAAGACACCTCTCAAGCTTCCCGTGCAGAAACGCCTCGCTGTGACTACCTCAAACCTTGCCAGCCCCTGCTGCCTCTCCACGTGCCCCACAGGGCACACCGGAACCAGGGCACGCAGCCCACACCAGGTCTCTGAGACTCAAAGCTATTTACGCCCTGCAGAATATTTATTCTCCCTGTTTTCCCCTGGCCCTTAATGATGATCGTTATCAGCAGCAATAATAAGCACAGAGGACAGAGAAGGGAAACAGTCAGCTCTCACAAATGGTTCCCTGACACCCCGTCAGCATCCAGCCCTGCAAAGGACATCCGTGCCCCCAGGCTCCCTCCCCTCTGGAGGCAGCCGGCCCCTCGCTGCACCCCGGCCAGCAGTAGGGTGCCTCAGTTGGGTGCTCACCTGGGTGGCTGCAGAGGCATCAGCAGAGCCCAAATTCTGCTGGAGGCAGCGGGACACAGCAGCACGCTGAGCCCCCAGCTCCGGCAGCAGGGCACCTGGGGTTTGCAGAGATGCTCATGCCCAGCCCAGCTCCAATCCACTTCAAACCACACTGCTTTTTTTAATTTTGACATTTATTTTACCAAAAAAAGAGAGAGAAACAACAGGCAGTTATACCAACTTACAATTTATTATTTTTTTAAAAAATGACATGAAACACAAGTAAAAATAAATACATCATATAAACAACAAATTGTTCAAAGTCTCTGTTCTGGGAGATCAGGCGAGCACATCCCATTCAACAGAGAAGAGGGAAGCACGTGATCATGCGTGGGGCCAACTGACCAACCCACCTTGCTAGCGATACTCCTCTTTCCAACCACAAAAAGACAGGCCACAAACTAAGGTGGTAGTAAAAAAGACCAAAAAAAAAAAAAAAAAAAGAACCCCAAAACAACAGAAAACCCAAAGTGAGACTCAGTGACGGATTCCTTCAGGCTCCTGTGAAACTGCCAGAGACTCCAGCTACGAGCTGGGTGCCACCAAGGTGGGAGGCACGAGGCAGCCGCGGGCAGTGGCGGTGGTCCAGGAGGTGGCAGAGGTTGCTCTCCCTCACTCACACCGTCATCCCTTCAATGGGAGCGCTTGCTCTGAGTTGCAAGGAGCCATCATCTCACTGTAATCTAGCTGGACTACATTCCCCTTTTAACCTCTGCCCCCCGCCCCAGCCCTCCCACCCCCAGTCCTTCCAAGACTGGATTAACAAAAGTCATCCCAGAGTGGCGAGAAACACCAGTTGTGAAGGTATTCACTGTACTTTGTCCCCATTGGCCTGGAAGCCACCCACAAACCAACAGCAATTCTCTTGCATTCAGCCATTTGCCGACATCATTAAGCCAAAATATACATAATTTCTAGTGAAGCCCCCATGGAAATCCCATCCTTTGCTTGCCAGAATATTTGCTTTCTGTGATTACCTGCATCCACCCCACCAACCTCCCAGGCACTCCGAGGAGCCAACGTGCAGCAGATCCTGCCCACCATGGGCCAGGCTGGGCTGTGCTGCCCC